TTTTAATTTTTTTTTTTATTTTTACACACATATTTTGGTTTATCTTCCTTCTACAATCATTATCTGAAAATTAATGACTCAACTTCAAAGTCACCCTGTATATATTATACCATCCAAAAATATTTCACTTTTAGTAAAGAAAATTATTTATTTAATGACCCTTATTTATATAAATTTCTAGTAATTAATCAGATTCTAAAGAAACACAGTTTTCTGTTAAAATATTGTCGACGTTCCAGAATAATTCAAGCACTAAAAGGAGCCCTGAAGAAGGAAATAATTAAATTTCTCACCACTATTCTTCATTGGCTAAGTTATTCCAAACTTAGCTGTTTCGGAAAAGAAAAGTCCCAATCAAGAGGACATCCTGGACTTTTTCTATAATCCCAAGTATAACCCTGCATATTGTAGAGGTTTATCTACGTTTATAAATCATTTCCGCACTCCACGAGGAACAGTCATCGCAACATAAATTTTTGGGCGTTCGAGCCGGATAGTTCCAACGTCACCCTGACCCAGGCGCGCCGCTTCTGTCCATTAGTCACCCGTCAACGGCGGCATCCTCCGGCACGAAGGACCAACATACGCGAAACAGAGAGAGACGGAGCATAGAGAGAGATGGAAGACAATCTAAAGCAAATGCTGAAAACTGTGCTGATACGGGGGCGTTTCAGGTTTCAGCCGTTTCAGGTTTTCGGAGCTTCAGCGGCGAAGTGACCTGCGTAACGCGCTTGAATTTGTCGGCTTGGTCACTAGTTGATTCGGTTTAACGGCGATAGGTGGCGTTAAAGTAAGTGGTTAGATAGCAGTGAGTGGGTATTGATTTGTCGAAAAGTACCTTGAAAGCAACGACGATGAAAAGACCTAGACATTTACATTCATTCATAAAACGTCTATCTGAACGTTGACAAGATAAACAACAGAAAACTATATACAGCTGGAGGAAGATGGCGGACAGTCGTCAACTGCCATGGGCGTATCATAATCGGGGTAATAGAGCTATAGCTAGAAATCGATTTTTGTGGAGTTTTTGGGCACTTCAATGAATATAAAAGTATTATGCATAATGGAATGGAATAATTTGTCACTCAAATAAATTGTTTATGCTAATTATGAATATGCAAGCCGAAATATAGCGTCGAAGTACAATTAAATATAAGTGTACATAAACACAACAAGAAACGGTCAAAACTAGGACTATGAATCAAACCGGACGTCACATGCACTCAGACCAATCATGATAGTGTCGCCAGCGACAGACGAGGCTCTGAAAACTGATGAGCTTTATACATTTATTAACCCGACTGCCTCAGGAGGAATATGTTTCACATGTTTTTTGGTTTGTATGTATATATCCAAAAATTCTGTTTCACGGGCTCAAATGCTTGTTGGATTTTGGTATTCGGATTCGTCCTAGCAGTATGAGTGATACTGGGTATATTAAAATTTCATTGAAACAAAATGGCGAATATTAATAAAATAATCAACCTTGAAATTCATATTTCCAAGGCTGCAGCTTGAACGGTTTGATGGATTTTGACAGAGGTGCCTCTAGATTAGAGACGGTATACTTGACCAATGTGTTTCCAATATTTACTTAAAAATTAGAGTTGGATTGAACAGTTTTGATCGCCATCCATTTTAATAAGATATTTTTTTAAAACAAATCAAACAGTGAAATGGGAACACTTTTTATTTTGACATTTTTACAAAATCATAAATTACAAGAGTTGCTTCAAGCAGCTACTTCACACTCGCCAATTTAACAATGGGTACAAAATCATCATAGGCCATTCCTTGTATAATAGTAAAGAACAGTATAAGAACAAACACTCTAAATCTTATTAGTACTACTTTGCCAGTATTATAAAGCGAATGTCAGACGTTCATTTCATACTCTGATCCGTTAGTATTTTCCAAGGAATGTGGTCGTATTCATTGAACGTCTAGCCTAGCGTATTGATGCCATGTTTTATTGTTGCATAAGGTTATGTGGAAATTCAATCATTCCATCGATCCGGAAGGAAATCTATCAGTAAATACTGACGTACGGATCACAGTATGGAATGAACGTCTGACATTCATCTACGAGGTCTCAGTTATAGCATAATTAAAGGAAAATATGCGAGTTATATATATATATATATATATAATATATATATAAAGGTAACTTTATATAAAATCTAATTACATATAATATAATCAAAAATATCAACACATTAAGCATAATTGTAAATAATTCATTCAATCTTGGGGTGTTACCTAAAGTGTTGTAGTAATCGTGTTGAGAAATTTGTATAGCAAATTAATTTTATAAGATAGCTTATGTATCCATTTATAACATGAAATACGAAAAAAAAAACAATACATGCAGTCGGGATATTTCCATTTTACTGTGTATTGGTAGAAATTGCGGAATCTTGAATTATTTCAATTACATGCGAAACAGCTGAAATGTAGTCGACCTATACATACATGATCAGTGTCGCCAGAAAATTAAAAATCTACTAATTAGCTATGCATTTTGGGAAAAACAAAGCTTGAACTTCTGCCACCTACAGGTCTACAAAAATGTACATAATTTAAAAATACTTCTCAACCTTAGAATCATATCATAGAATCCAAAAAATTACGAGAGATACAACAAAGAAAAAAATCTTACTGATGGCTGAATAATACTGCCTTCGTATATACACTTCTAATTCTGTTTTTTTTAAACTGTCCGATTTTTTCACAGTTTCGTGATGAATTCTGAGTGAGAAATACTTTTTCAAAATCAGTTTTATCAGAAATATGCAGTGCCCATCAATAGGGTCATCTTCAAGAAGGTGGTGTTCAAAATACCCCAAAATATGTGGTGATATTGATTGTATGGTATTATTGACTAGAATATCCGAGAGATGTTTGATATTTTTGTTAAAGATATTAGTTGTCTTTTGGAAGAAACGAAAGTATTTTTCACCATGGCGGCAAATTTGAATAACTGGTCCTGAGGCTTTTGTCAATTCTCCATAAACTTTTCTTTTTTGCAATGGCATGTCAATATCGCCCTCTAAAGAATTCTTACAATTTATACAAGTAACACATTTTTTTAAACAATTCACCACAAACCCTGCAATGTATGAAACAACATCTTCTGTATAAATTGTAAGATTCCATGCAAAAGGTGTGCACTGGTAAAGGGCAAATTCGTTTTTTATTTTTTCTTCAAACTGAAGTAATTCTGGGCTATTTAAAAGATCTTCACCATCGTCCGCCCTGGTTATATGATATCCACTGCCACAAGATAAGATAGTCAAATGCTCTGGGTTATCAACATTTCCTGTGTCTGGGCCAGATATCTCTGTATGCACCAGCAATCGTTCGTATGCAGCTTCAAACTGCCTTGCACTGGGATTATTGTTGTACCCTCCCTTACTACGAATAGCTCCAAAAAAAAGCTCTAAATGATCCTGTGATAATTTATTTGTCAAAATATATTTTAAAACTTTCTTTTCTACAATACACAAGTTATAAAACTGTTTCAAGCTCTGAATGTAAATCAAAAATCCTAAAAAACCAGTTTTTTTTGGAGAATGTATTATTGGGAGAGTACCTAGTCGCAATCCATGGATATATTGAACTGCCTCGTCCATGAATTTGAAAAATGTATCTGCAGTAGCTGGAGAAAGTGGGCGCTTAAATAAGTACTTTGAAAACCTGTTTCTAGAGTTGAAAATATCAAAAATATCGTTAAATGTTTGAACAAATTTTACGGTACCTTCCACATTAGCAAACGTCGCTAGTTTTAAATCTTTGGATAAATAGGTCAAAGCATCAGCAACACTTCTACTTAAAGTTTGTGTAGCTATTTTGACCCTCATTTTTTCTCTCGTCCACTGTAGATGACGATTTCTTATTTTTGTGCCTAAATGTAAACCTTCGATATTTTGCACATCAACTAACTTCACCAAATTTTCCCAACTTATCTGATTGTTTTCAGAATCACCTAAGTATTTGATGGAACCAAAAGCGTTTCTGACTAATTTTATCATGTGGCTTGGGTCTAGGAATATGTATACATTTTGACCCGTTATAGGATGGAGAAAATAAGTCTTCAAGTTTGTTACATCGTTCAGATTTGTCCCTAGACAAGAAGCCATTGTGAAATTTACTGGAGCACCATCGAATGTTAATGATGCTACAGTAACTCCAGAAGTGTGGATGAAGGTTAGGCATTTTTTCACGAGTTCTGCTTTTTCATAACCAGTCAAGCCATCCAACAGAAAGTAACCCACCGGAATTTTCCATGCTCCATTCAAGCATACTAACATAAAAACCAACACCTCCTTTGCTTCTGGTAGAACGTCTGATTCTATGTTAGCCCCAATATCAACATACCCCGTGAACTTACTCCCTGTCCATTCAACTTGTTTCCGAATAGACATCTCATCTAGGACTAAATTACACATAACAGTAGAGTTTTTGGTTGAAGCTTCTTCTTGTTTTAATTTCAAGGCCACAATGGATTCCTCAGTGAAGCCTGGTGAACCATCAATCGACTTATACCATTTGCTTATTGTTGACAGATGGGGTAGAGCAAGGTTAAATGTCTTCCTCACAAAATTGTATGCTCTTGGGGAATAAAAGCTCAGCATGAGGGCAAATGACCGCAAGGCAGGGTTATATTTCTGGCTAGTACGCCCCCTCAACATTCTTTCAAAGATTTCCAAAGGCATACCAGAAAGAGATGCCTAAAAGAGATATTAAGTATTTAGAATGCAATTACATCATGTAATCTGAACAGAATGAGTATTTTAAAACTAGTATTAATTACATTTATGCAAGATAAATAACATCAGGAAACTAAGATATTAACACTGAAGATACCCATACTCAATTCTATTTCTACCATAACCAGTCTCATGACCTGCTGTGGTTAGATGACGATATGTATACTTGTTGTAACAAGTATTAGTCAAAATAAACAAAATACGAATAAAAAAAGAATATCAAATGCTATAATTAAAAGAAAAAAATCATGGAGCTATATGTGCAAAAGTGATAAGATGATAATGCTTATTTTCAATGAGCAAGATTACAACTGGTCTTCTGACCAGTTATGGTATGTTGAGTGTTGTGTGTGTGTTGTAATGAAAATTATTATATTGAAAAAAAAAGTTGATCAATTGCTCCATTCAAATGAATTCGGGTATCTGGGACACACAGTCTTCATCAATCTGCTTACCTTCAATACAGTTTCAGCTGAATCTGTTATGTGATTCTTCTGCTTCAAAAGTTTCAATAAGCCACTTAGAGTTTTTATTCTTCTCCTCAAAGCAGCAACACTTGTTTGGAGACTTTTTACTTTTTTCCTCAATGTCATTAGGGAACTTTTCATCAACCGATAATTTGACTTTGATTTTCTGGGAGTGGAAAAGTCATCACTTGATAAATCTCCAACATAACGTTTTAGCCTGAAAAGGATAAATGTGTCAACTATATACTTTATTCATTAAATAATATTATATATCATTTCATCTTGATACAAAATAGCTAGTAAGAAACAAGTTCTTGTCTCCCTCAAATACCTTATTTTACGTGGTGTTCTGACATTTCGTTTGGTGACATTGCCTCTAATTGCCAATTGATACTCCTGTTCAGAAGCAGTTGCAGTACTGGATGATGTGAATGACTGCAAAATTTCTGGAGGCTCTACCATCTTAGAAGCTTCATCAGGAAAAGGAATATGACTTGAGCTAAAATATTTTCTACATGAGTAAATGAAATGGTTTAGATTAAGAGAATACTCACACCACATGGGAAGGCCCTGGTATAGCTAACTCTTCCATTCTCAATCTAAAATAAAAGGTATACATAAAATACTGGACATAACACATGTAAACAACCAAAATCCTTTGACATACACATGATACTATTTAGATAAGTTTTGACAATAATTGTTTGGTAATGTACTTGAATGTATGAATTGCATTTATTAAAGCACACTTGAAGCACACAGGCACTGACTTATTTTACTGTGCCAATCTGTTTATTTTGATAATAATATGTAGTATAAGCTTATTATATGAGAATAGTTCAAGTCCGTATAGAACTCTACTCACCGCTTTCTGACAGGGCTCCCTTGACTGCTATGGGCTTCTGAGCTTGATTCCTTTGATGGAGTAAGTGTCACTGTTGAATCAGAGCTGGAATAATAATGTTTGTTTAAGATACTTATGGATACAATAACAAAGTAAATACTTACAGGGCTCGAGTCTAGAGTAAAGTACAAGTATAATCTTGACACATTTTTAATTCTTCAAACTTTAGATAATAGAAATGCTGAGTAAATATTAATCAATATGAATATATAGGGCAAATGTATCTGTATGCTATTAATAGCATGTCAAAAAAACTCAAAAAAGTAACAAACATATTTACCTTGCATACTCCTGCTCATCATGTATGGAGCGAACATCTACTGGTTCAGCACCATCCTTCAAAAGCCTTCTTCCAGCAGAATCATATTCAAAGTCCCTATCATGAAAATGTTTGCTGCATATCAGTGCCACTTTCGGCAACGTTTTCTCCCAGTCAATGCCAAGCAGTGAAATCCATAAAATGCGCTTTGCTGGGTCAGATGGGAGTCTAAAATTGTAAACACATGTCTTACACCAATGATCTGTCTAATGATTATAAACTAGTTAGCACAAAAATATAATCAAATCATGGCAAAATCACGTTTACTTAAGTTGCATGAAGATTGTGTATGTGGATATTTTTGTACTTGATGAACTACACCCAGAACATCTTTAAATTGTATCATACTGCTAGTGATGGATATATATTCATATAAACTCGTCAGGAAGCTACAAAAAGTTACTAAAATGATGGTAAAAGACTGTTTTATGATAATTTTTTCAGTAAAATTTGTATTGCCACGCCTATGATATGAAAACATAACCTTACTTACCGATGGAATGATAAATTGGCCGATTCTGGATTACTGCTGTTTATCTTGCACACATAACACGATCGCACCATTGTTCAACAGGTAACAGTTCAATATCACTAACAAACTTATGGCAAATAGCACAAAAATAATGATTTGTGAAAATCCACAACTCAAGCATAAAATACGCACTTTATTGGACTTTATACTATCGTAAAATGTCCATTCATAAGAAAAATGCGACGTTGCCAATGTCGACTGAAGCTCTGTGACTGAAGGAAATCTCTTTCCAATTCGCTAACGGTAAATTCAATACGAAAATAGTTCACTTTTCTACTTTTCACTATTGCTTATGCAGATTTTCAACAATGTTAACAATTTTATTATTTTCATGAGTCCAAATAGCTGGTTTACACGATGAAATATTTGTTTGAGGTTTGTTTACTACCAGGTTAGGAATTCTATCAGCTAGTAACTGGCAACATTGCAATTCCCTAATATTTATCCTTTCAACGCGTTTTAGTGTAAATAGAAAGGTCTAGGTCTTTTCATCGTCGTTGCTTGAAAGTGTAAATAGGGGGCGTTGGAGTGGAAGATCGTTACGCTACTGTCAATATCAAGTAGATTAACTCGATATATCTATACGCAAGTCTGCTGAGTATATGGTCAAAAATGTGAAAATTGGGTTGTACCTATTACATCCGGTTCCCCAGATGGGTCGTTTGAATCGAATTGATAGAGTTCTCCCTGATAGGGATTCCCTGAAAAAAATTCAAATAGCTTGCAGCTTGTTTTTTTTACACCAAAGCAAACGCGCAGGCAGAAGCTTAGATGATAGGACACCGCAGCTGCTATGAAGATCCCAACGAAATATTGTTTATCCGATTTTTGAATTGCCCAGTAGAACTGGGCAAGGTGGAGAAGAGAAGAGAAGAGGTTACTGAAGAAAGTTTGCGTGGTCAGATTAGACTACTTCCAAAATGTACACTGACAGACTATCTATTGGAATGCAGGATCACCGATTGTTCAAGTATGTTGATGTTAGTAGGATTTATGTAAAAAGATAAAAATAAAAATTAAATGGAGTTTCATAGCAAATAGTAAACACAAATGAACTGTGTTTTGCAATCTGAAAAATACTGCCTTTTTGGTTGCAATAAAAGATGCATGCATATGAGTCTAATTCCGTATCTGTCTTCTGGTAGCGGTATTCGTCGAATCAATAAAAATCGGTATAGGCAAAATAAGCTAGGCTTTATTCCATAATAACAATAGATAGATACATGTATATACACAAACACAGCTTACACTACAGAAGACAACATCTTCGAATTGTCAGGTTAACATTTCATTTAAAATTATATGAGAAAATGTATAGGAAAAAGGAACACTTTTTTTACTGGAAGAGATGGAACGTTCCACATTTTGGAATTATATCATATCATATATTTTTTGAATTGACTAACCTTGAACAAACTGTAGCTTTAAAACCGTTGACAACTGAAACTTTATCAGATTGGTATGGAGAACATAATTAAATTTTTTGACTTTTTGACCAACAGCCGTTGGCCCTAAAGAATGTGCCATCTCCTTTACAAATTGTCTTAAGCTTTTGAAAGTAATATAACCAGCTGGTACGTATTTTCAAAGGTTGCCCTTGAAGGGCTTTTTATAACCAGGAACCAAGTGTATAGGCATAGGCTGAAGATTTTTGGGTAGACAGATCATAGTACGTAGATACACACAGGAACACAGGACGTCCAGAAAGTTTACGACCCACCACCTTATTTCATAGAACAGTGCTCAAATTAAAGAATGGTCCAAACACCAGATGACGGGATTTAGGAGAACAATCTAATGGTGAAGAACTTGACAATTTTAATTGAACCCGATGGAAAAAACCTAAAATCTTACGTTTGGAAACGACCCTGACCTTAATTCCAGGTCATTAAGAAGCCAACCAATTCCAGGGCCAGGTGCAAATATAGATATGTTCCATTCTTTCCACCTACGTGCAAAACATAATGCCTCCATTTTAATCCCTCTAGGTGATGTTCAAAGTAACGTTCAAGGTCATGGTTAAGGTCCTTTTTGAACATACAATTTTCTGCTATTTCCATCTACTGAATCAAAAAGGTACGATTCTCTATTACAACATTTTCAACTTGACCTTGAAAATCGAAGTCATGGTCGTCGTTCTATGGGAGAGTTAAAAATCTACGGTTCCAAAAAAAATTCGACTTGACCTCTAGACGACCTTGACAACGGTGTTCGAGGTCACAATTAATGCCAGTTTTGGGCACAAAAAAAATCCGCTCATCTATCAAAAACATACTATTCTTTGTTATAAAATTCCCAACTTGTCTTTTAAACGACTTTGAAGGTCAAAGACAAGGTCATTACGGAACGTGATTCATATCGCTATTTTTGATGGAAGGTTAAATATATACGGTTCAAAATAAAATTTTCGACTTGACCTCTAGATGACCTTGGAAGCAGTTTTCAAGGTCATGACTGAGGTCATTTTTGAACATAAAAGTTGCTGTCTTTCTATCTGTCAAAAATATACAATTTCTCATTATAAAACTTTCAAATTGACCTCTGACCTTGAAGGTAAAGGTCACTTCCGAACGTGACTAATACCGCTTTTTTATCGGAGTGCTAAAAATTCACGGCGCCACTGGAAATCCTCAAGTTGACTTTTAGATGACCTTGAAACTACCATGATTAAGATCATTTTTGAACACAAAGTTTCCGCTCTTTCTGTATATCAAAAACATTTTCCACTATGAATTTTTCCACTTGACCTTCAAATGATTTTGCCATTTCGGAACGTGACTTGTATCGCTCTTTTCATCGGAGTATTAAAAATATACGACTCCATTTGAGATCTTCTAGGTAACCTCCAGACAACATCCACAAAGCCATGATTGAGGTCATCTTTGAACATAAAATTTTCAGCTCTGTATATTTGTCAAAAACATACGATTCTTTTTTATCAAACTTTCAACTTGACCTCTAAATGATCTTGAATGTCAAGGCCAAGGTCATTTCCGAACGTGACTTGTATCTCTCTTTTTATCAGAGGACTAAAAATATATCGGAGGATAAAACATATACGGTTCCATTTCAAACTTTTAGCTCTACCTCTTAATGCAAGTCATTTTCGTGTATAAAAATTGACAAGACATAGATTCTGCCGAAGCTTTCCGCATAATTTCAGGATGCTCGTAACTAGTGACACATGAAGTAAAACTTTTTTTATCGAAATGTTAACCCTTAATCAGCAAATACTGAAAGCTAGCTATATCGTTAATTACAATATATGTATATGTATATTTTTATACAAATCCAAGTAACATGTCTAAGATGTCGTAAAGATATGTTTCAATATTTTCAATTTATAATACAATACGTATATGGATTGATCAAAGATAAGAATAAATATAGTATGTACATAGTTTCGATGAATATATAGTATTTACTCGTTTTAGATGATTGAAGGTTGCTCTATTCAACGCTGGAGCTGGAGTAGCTATATTGAATACTGTACAGTGAATGATTGTATGTATTGTAAGTATGCTTCCTATCTGCGAAACGTGTCGTTTCCTTCAGAACATTGTATCCCCAAGAAATTCCCCATGTAAAAATCCCCTAAATTTGGGGGAAAATCAACCAACGTGACAATGCTGTCAAAGCACCACCGATAGTCCAGGCGATAAGTTTCTGGGTTGTTGTTAGTTGTCAAGTTTTGACGTGTTTAAAAATCGTGGAAAATTTAGTTAAAAAAATGCCTTGAAAATGGCTCTCTGTGACATTTTAACCTCGATTTAGGAATTATTCGTACAGTTTCTCAGTATGTGAGGGCTTACGCATTATGTAATAAATATGCAATGCATAGAGCAACCTGTTTGCGACTTAAGCTACGATATTGTCCAGTCAATTTAAAAACTAACATTAATATACATCATGTTTTGTATCAAAATTACATCTGCAACTACGAAACGAGGAAAAAACTGGAAGTTTCTTGTACAAGTACAAAAATTAGTGCCTTTAAAAGGCTTATAGATGCACATTCTGTTAGGCTGAAAATTTTAATTTTATATGGCTTTCCATAATCTCAGGAAAACTCTTGCGATCATCTTGGCCGTTTATACATACAATCTGTGTTGCGCCACAGTATCCTTTGACAATTTTGTTAAATGTGACACCCTGTGACGTAAGGATTTTGGGATTTTGTACGATTGGTTTTTGGGTTACCTCTAACCTTGTTTGTAAGTTAGATGTCAAGGCGAACGAACAATATTGCAATACTCTTGACACTAAAAAATGTAGTTAGTAACGGCAGACCGTTAGAATTTACGTATTTTCATTCTAGGCCTTAATATGCAATACAGTCGAAAGGTTTAACAACTCAAAAACCAGTCAAATAGACCCCCTTAACCTTGATATCAGAGAAAGCTTATGAAAAAGGAAAATCAAAAAGGGTATTATGCAACAAATATGACGTATATAAATGAACGTTTTTTTCTATATTTGGCCTTCACTTATTATAACCGCTTTTCACCTTACCTTTGATACCAGAAACTTCCACTTACATCTTCGTCCGATTCTTTGAAATACAGGTATATGAGACAATCCCAGTGGCGAATATGATACAATGCGTTTGTAGTAATATATAAATTTGATGCTGAAGACATACATATTAACAGGCGTCAGCTATGCAAGCCATTAGATTAGGGTATATAACAGATACAACAACAAGATCTTGTTGAACAGCTTGCGTTTACTATCATTATTTTTGGAGATTTGTACAAAATGGTTGACAGAGCTTATAGACATTAGTCCAAGTATCGACACATGAAAACAGTACAGCGAGGTAAAAGTTTACGATTTTCTTGAAAAATTGTGTTATAATCCAAGGAACAAGCAAAATTTTTGCATTCGGGCTAATTCACACTTATTATACCAGAAGTCGACGTCAAGCCGAAACCGGGTGATAGGCAAAGTCATAACAGCTATCAGAAAAATATTAGTAAAAAATGTTATGTATGTGTTTTGAAAATTATAGGTCTTTGAAAAAGATATAGAAATTTCGCACCCTACGGCAGTCTGTCAACTCCTGTTACTACAAATATTAACTTTTTTTGGATTTTATTTTTACAATTTAATGACGAATAATGCATCTTCAAACTGGTGTCTCAACCTTACTGCCAACTTTTCTCGTTCAGGAAAAATTGCCACTTATTTCCCAATCAAGTATTCCAAAGTAAAACTTTGCTCAACTTTAACTGGCTGTACTGGAAAAAAATTTACTACGAGAGTTTGGCAAGTAACCTTAACAGTTGGCGCATTTAATAAGGATTCCAAAATGGTATGACACTTAGAAGATTACTCGTTAACTTATGCACAATTTTTATTTGAAGAAAAACTGATGAAAATTTTTCAAAATTTCCTAATTAAACAGCGATTATGAAAACGCACAAGGACCCTTAAGGATAACTGTTTGCACAACAGTGGGCGTCAAAATGCTGCTGATGATGATTTACCTTTACAGCAAATGCTCAAACTGTTTCCCTTCAGCCGCAATTCACGCTCGACATCTTAAAAAAGATCGGGTTATTAAACGAGCGAATCCACGGTTATTAACAAACTCAGCTGCTTCCAATAGTCTTTGCCGTAGCTCAGCTACATTTTGAATCGGCTTGAAAGACACTTTTCCTTTTACAGTTCCCCAGTAAAAAAAATCTAACGGATTCAAATCAGGTGATCGGGCTGGCCACGGTATTGTATCAGACCGCCTTATCCATCTGTCTGGAAAGTTTTGATCGAGATACTCTCTCACTGAGAGTGCATAGTGCGCTGGGCAGCCATCATGCTGAAACCACATGTCCCTGTAAATACTCAGTGGCACGTCCACCAATAAATTTTGTACATGATTTTTCAAAAAATCCAAATAAACTTCAGCATTATTTTACCATTTAAAATCCCTGTCCAATGGTTTATCTTGAGGCGATATTGAGGTTTATCTTCTCTCATCAAATGTGGGTTTGCTACGTGCCACTCGTGTAACTTATGCAGGTTCATGTACCCATCTTTCTTAAATGTGGTCTCATCCGAGCATAAATTTGTTTCAAATAACTGTGGATCTTTCCTGTGTCTTTCTAACATTTTGCGACAAAAAGCAACTCGGGGTTCATAATCCCGGGGCAGGAGAGGTTGAACACGCTGTATGTGGTATGGATGAAGCACATCACTTACTTGCTATTGCACACTTTGATACCGATCAGTACTCCTTCGTTTACTGCGTATCTTTACATGTTCATGCTTGTTGATTTCGTACTGTTACTAATTTTGGATTCGTGAACTGGAATGTTGATCGCTTGTGATTTGGATTTGGACTGTTTAATTGCTCTTCAGAACAACATTTGCTTTCCTTAGACTATCCTTGATAGTGTGATTGTGCAGTGCCGCTATGTCCGTGTACACCGTACAAGAATATGCTAACTTGCGCCTCATTTATGGGGAATGCAGATGCAACGCTAGTCCTGTAGCGAGACTTTACTGTGAGAGGTACCCGAATGCAGCTCGTCATCCAGATCATCGAGTGTTCACAAATGTGCACCGCTTACTGTTCTCAGAGGGCCAACTACCAAACCAATCACACGGTCAGGGAAGATATTTCCTTCCTTACGAAGACGTGGTGCTAGGATCCGTCGAAGAAGACCCGAGTACTTCAGTGCGTGCAATAGAACTTAAAACAGGTGTGCACAAAAGTACAGCCCATAGAATCTTGCAAAAAAACGTGCTCCATCCATACCACGTACAGCGTGTTCAAGCTCTTCTGCGCCGGGATTATGAGCCCCGAGTTGCTTTTTGTCGCACAATGATAGAAAGACACAGGGAAGATCCACGGTTCTTTGAAAAAAATGTATGGTCAGATGAGACCACATTTAAGAAAGATGGGTACATGAACCTGCATAACTTACACGAGTGGCACGTAGCAAACCCACATTTGATGAGAGAAGATAAATCTCAATATCGCTTCAAGATAAACCATTGGACAGGAATTTTAAATGGTAAAATAATCGGTCCGTTTGAGTTCCCAGAGACTTTGACTATTGAAGTTTATTTGGATTTTTTGAAAAATCATGTACAAAATTTATTGGTGGACGTGCCACATGTGGTTTCAGCATGATGGCTGAACAGCGCACTATGCACTCTCAGTGAGAGAGTATCTCGATCAAAACTTTCCAGGCAGATGGATAAGGCGGTCTGGTACAATACCGAGGCCAGCCCGATCACCTGATTTGAATCCGTTAGATTTTTTTTACTGGGGAACTGTAAAAGAAAAAGTGTATTTCAAGCCGATTCAAAATGTAGCTGAGCTACGGCAATGACTATTGGAAGCAGCTGAGTTTGTGAATAACCGTGGATTTGCTCGTTTAATAACCCGATCTTTTTTAAGAAGATGTCGAGCGTGTATTGCGGCTGAAAGGAAACAGTTTGAGTATTTGCTGTAAAGGTAAATCATCATCAGCAGCATTTTGACGTCCACTGTTGTGCAAACAGTTATCCTTAAGGGTCCTTGTGCGTTTTCATAATCGCTGTTTAATTAGGAAATTTTGAAAAATTTTCATCAGTTTTTCTTCAAATAAAAATTGTGCATAAGTTAACGAGTAATCTTCTAAGTGTTATACCATTTTGGAATCCTTATTAAATGCGCCAACTGTTAAGGTTACTTGCCAAACTCTCGTAGTAATTTTTTTTCCAGTACAGCCAGTTAAAGTTGAGCAAAGTTTTACTTTGGAATACTTGGTTGGGAAATAGGTGGCAATTTTTCCTGAACGAGGAAAGTTGGCAGTAAAGTTGAGACACCAGTTTGAAGATGTATTATTCGTCATTACATTGTAAAAATAAAATCCAAAAAAACTTAATATTTGTAGTAACAGGAGTTGACAGACTGCCGTAGGGTGTGAAATTTCTATATCTTTTTCAAAGACCTATAATTTTCAAAACACATACATAAAAATTTTCTAAATATTTTTCTGATAGCTGTTATGACTTTGCCTATCACCTGGTTTCGGCTTATACAGGGTGTCCCAGAAGTCGACGTTAAGCTGGAAACGGGGGATATTTATCAGAAAAATATAAAAAATTCGGGTGAGGTGTTTACAATTATTGTTCGCTTTAATATCACACAGAAAGCAATACAGTATTAAAAAGATGATTTCAAGGATTTTAAAATCCTGACCAATAATTTCCAAACGTCTTTTAGCTAAAAACTACATAATATTTCTTATCAATGCCTTTGGTCAACTTTGGCCATTTCAAAAAAAAATCGTGCTGGACTCCTTTTAAAATGAAATCGAAAAACATGGAAGCGTGTTCTAATTGATAGAAATTTTGAGCGAATTAATACACAGAAAATGGCCGTTTGTTGTTCAAAATCTTATATTCTTCATTCAGTCTCCATCAGGATTTCTACCCTTTCCTAGTTCATCACAGAATATAGTTTGTGCAGATTGGTCAACGTCGTGACGTCGTTTGGCTTCAGTTTTAGAGCCTTCTCGTAACTGAGCACAGCTTCGTGGTACTTGCCGTTCAAATGTAAGATAGCGCCTAGGTTGGTGTGACTTTTCGATTCCTGGAAACAGAAAACAAAACATTTGTCAATCTTTGCATTAGGCTCAAAGAAACTGAGTTTAAAGATATCCATTTCAGAGATTGTAAAAAAGTCATCTCGTACACAGCCAACTTGAATACGTTAGGAACCAATAAATCTAAATTTGCTTCCAGATCTTTTATTTTTTTTCAAATTTCCAAATCTGTAAAATATTTTACAATTACAGAATTTTGGAAATTAGGAAATTAGGTTGAAAAATTCCGTTACATTCATAGACATAGATCAAGTAAATAAAATGCTGCGACGACTTAACGAATGTGTATCGAAAAAAGAAGAATCAACACATTATTAACATTATAACTCAGCTATTTTGCGAAATTTCGAGTTAAAATTTTAATCACTTTCAATTTATCAGTAGTCCTTAAGCTTGAAAAAGTATGCTCAAAATTACAGCACTCCTAGTCGGTGTTGCATTTTCTATGTCATTTAGTATACAGGGTGTCCGCAAAGTTGGGGTTTTCCTTTTCAGAAACAACTACCCTTGAAATAGCAAAGGTAATGTGTAGTGAAACGAGGGCGACCAAGTAAAAAAAAAATAGAGGAAAAAGTAATCACTCTCCAGTTGACGAGAAGGGCTAAGTACGTCTCTGCCCGAAATCATACCGCTCCAACAGAAATTGACATCAGCTGATGCGCTACCGAGCAGACGCAGGCAAACAAGGAAGGCAAAATGTTGCGTAAAAAGTCTAGGTATTGCATCCCGTCCAATCGATTTGGGAGAATAAATGGTCCAAAATGTTCACCATGCCAGCCTAAACATTCACCGAAAATGTTTGTTGAAAATGTGCCCGACGGACAGCGTGCGGATTTTCTACTGACCAAACATGAGTGTTGCGAAAGTTATTCACCCCATTACGCGCGAACGTAGATTCGTCTGTCACCAATATGCACTTCAAAAAGTCCGGATTATTGTCATGTTGATGCAACAACCACTCACAAAACCGCACTCTTGCTGGACAATCGTCAGGTTGAAGGGCTTGTACACGTTGGACGTGAAACGGATACAGCCCCTCTTCACGCAGCGTTGGCCACACTTTAGTTTTTGATACTTGCACTTCTCTAGCCACGTCTCTAGTGCTTGTTGAGGGATTCTCGTCTACGCGATTACCTCTACACGCGTGACCGTAACCGTCGGTTGAAGGTTGCATACTGACCTGACACACTGACCCCGACCCAGTTCTGTCGTCGGGTTGAGCTAGTGTCCTAGTACCACTCGGGGATGTCGCGGCTACAGGACGGTATTCAGATATTTTTGATGTTGCATTGGTGTATATGGTACTAAGAAAAATTGCTTATGTTTTCAAGATCTACACGTCGTGTAAAGGAAAACCCCGACTTTGCGGACACCCTGTATTTTAGATACCTCGCAAAACATGTATGCAAACATTACAGACTACGTAATTGTCTAGACATTTTAGTTTCATTCGACGATATGTCAAGGTACACCGTTACATTCTTACAAGACATCGGATCACCTGTATGTTGTCTTGAGGACCCATACACAAGAATAAAATATATCTCATCCAACCTTGGGGTTGATATCCACGGCTCTCCGATACCATTTCTCGGCTTCTGCGAATCGAGCTGCACGTCTAGCCGCCGTAGCTGCGGCTACCGCCAGTTCGTAGTCTTCAGGCTTCAGTTCGGCCGCTCTCGAGTACATCTCCGCAGATTCGTGGTATCTTCGATACGACGCCAGGAACTCACCTAGAACAAGCAATCAGGTATAAAGGGTGTTCCAATATTCCATGGATATACATGGCGTCCAATAAGTACCACGACAAGCTTGAGGAGACGGTAGGCTTTGGAGTGACCCTTCAAATAACAAAAACGTGCCTATATAAAAGTGTCACCGTTTTCGAGATATGGAATTTTTTCTTAAATTTAAAAAGCGAACCGTTTCATCTGTGTCTGTCTTTGGCCGCATGTACAAATAAGGTTATACTTCTAGATAGTTGCTTTATCATATACAAATGCAATGTACGAGCCGCTTCCCACTTCAGTTGGCTCACTTCAAGATTTGTACCAAAATATGCCCTTATAAACTAAACATGACGAGACTATTTACTTCTAAATTAATTTATTTTTTCAAAAACATTTTAGATACACTCTAGTCGTAAAAAATACATATTTGAAATCACTTAGACCTATAACTAATAGAACATCTGAACAAATAAACAATGTGCGAATAAATGCGCGAAGTTAACAAAGCAACAATTGCTGAAATTCTTTGGAGCATAGTGTTAACCAAGTTTTGGCAAACATTTGGTGTAAAACAATCCCATATTTCTTGAAGCTTTTGTATCAGTTCGGTGATTGTACGAGCAGGATGTTGTCGTAGAACCTTTTTCATCTCGTGCCACAAAGTTTCAATAGGTGACAGATCTGGGCTGCTAGAAACCCATTTAAAAAGTGGTACATTATTTTCTTCCATCCATTTTATAGCCTTTTTCGAGGTATGGCACGCTGCACCATCTTGCTGAAACACAAAATCTTGGCCGGATGTCAAACATTCTTCCATCATTGGTAAAAGCGATTCTTTTAAAATTGCCAAATATTTGTTTGTATCCACATTTCCATCAATAAAATGAAGTTTTCCTACTCCTTTTGATGACATACTGCCCCAGACCATAGTGGATTCTGGAAATTTCACTTTTCTCTTCAGACAGTCAACATGGAATGCTTCATTTTTTTGCGAATAACTCTACTGGGACTGTCATCAACACAAACTTCGAATCTGGCCTCATCACTCCATTGTATTGCACACCATTGTTGAGGTATCCATTGTCTATGTTCTTTAGCCCATCTAAGCCGATTTTTCTTTTGCAGTGGAGTTAATAGTGACTTTTCTTTGGCCTATAAACAAGTTGTGAAACTTTAGGGTTTTTACTTCACTTTTTTTTATAAGAAAACTTACCTTGCAAGTACTAAATCCCAATTTGTGGACCTCATATATGAGTTGTGGACCTCGAAATTCTCCTTCCAACAGCGTCACTCTAAAGAGCACTTAATTGTAAATAATTGGCACGTCTGTTTTCGGTCGGAATTTGTCATATTACTTTTTTTCACATATCGTGGCTTAATATTAACTGAACCAGTTACGTTATATCTTCTAACAATATTACTCACACTGTACCGCGATAAGTCTAACAAAGTCTACCCATTTTGAAAACCTTAACTAACCACAACTATTTTAAACGTATTCTGACAGCTGTGATTAATAAAAACAATTGTCATGGCTCTTGTTTTTCTCAGCCAGCAATGCCTTATAGACTTATTTTGCATTGAAATGAAAATAGTTTGATATGCTGTAATTGCAGCATGTGTTATTTTTATGCTGCGAATTTGATTAGGGAGTGATAAAGTTGGAGTTTTCTACTATATATTATCAAAATATTCACTGTTAATATTTTAAACCTATAGCACCCTGCCACATTTTTATTGTTTGTGTTTGATAAGAAAAAAGCTGAGATTTCAATAGTTGGGTCAACTGGAGTGGGAAGGGGCTCGTAGTTGATATTAAGATACCATGATCGAATAAGGACTATTTTGGGATTTGGAACCTTCTGATATTTTCCCTCAACTTTGATCATCTGTGGTGAAACAAAAATATACTGCCAGTATATCTTATTTGTCCATTAGAGGGCGTTAAAGTTTTATTCTTAAAACACATACTTTTGCAACCGATAGACCGATTTGAATGAAATTTGGAACACATCTTTATTGCTAATATTTAACTTTTACAAAAGACCCGGAAGGATTCGAGAAGATTGAAAACTACCCCCACGCCCTACATAGTGATACAAACTGTGCTATATTTTCATGTAAGCAGGTCTATCTCCGTCAGTCAACACGGTTTCATGAAGGGCAGGTCCACAGTTACTAACTTGCTACATCTTACTCAATATGTTTGTGAATCAATCGATAGACAACTTCAAACGGATGTAATATATACTGTTTTCTCTAAAGCTTTTGATAGTTTAGACCATAACATTCTACTCAATAAGTTATCTAGATTTGGTCTTTCCAATGCATTGTCGCTATTTTTCAGATCTTATTTATGTCATAGGAAACAATATGTTATGTGCAATGGACATAAGTCAAGCGAATACCCTGTAATGTTTGGTGTTCCTCAAGGATCTAATTTGGGACCTCTGCTATTTATTATGTTCATAAATGATATTTCTGAAGTTATCGATGTCGATTTTCTTATATATGCTGACGGTATGAAACTTTTCTGTAGAGTCTCTAACATTGACGATTGTCATCGCTTGCAATGCAACATTGTAAGGGTTGACAACTGGTGTCGTGAAAACAGACTTGTTTTGAATGCTGCTAAGTGTCACGTTTTGTCGTTTACTTTAAAAACAGGGGTAATGATGTATGAATATAGTATTGGTGACAGGAAACTTGACAGACCTAGTACAATTAATGACTTGGGAGTCACATTTGACAGAAAACTTTCCTTCTCCTATCACATTGAAAATGCTGTTGTGGCTGCATCAAAAGCGTATGGTTTTATTGTAAGAAATACTGGTGATTTCCACAACTCCTTTACACTGAAAATACTGTACTATGCTTATGTAAGGTCTAAGCTTGAGTATGCGTCCCTGGTGTGGTATCCTCATCATCAAATATATATTGACCGCTTAGAGTCCATTCAAAGAAAGTTTTTAAAATACCTCTCATACAAGCTCATCCATGGCATTATTGACTCCAGTGTCATCTTAGAACAACTTAACTTCTTAATTCCTAGATTAGCGTCACGAACTAGTTTAACTTTTTACTTAGCCAGGCCTAGGACTGACATACTTAAGTTTTCCCCTATATATATATAATGTGCCGTAATTATGATTCAGTTAATAGCGTTTTAGTTATATTTTCGTTTTGTGCGACTTTGGGAGAAATTAATGCTTATTTTCGTTAATGCTTGCCGGTGTGATTGTTGAGTGCTGGGTAGGTAAAGCTAGAACGCTTTTTTTTTTCCTCCCAGTTCTGTTTTGAGGTTTTTTTTGCAGCGTTTTAGCTTGCTCTACATACATCCACAACATGCATTTGTTTATATTTTCATGTTTATCCATCCTGTAATTGGCTATGGCTGTTGGATGTTGCTAAATAAATAAATAAATAAATAAATAAGTTATTGCAGAATTTTTTACAACTCTCCAACGACTCTGAGTTTGTTTATTTGAAAGATCGTTTTATTTACTTCATTTTTTGGCTCTTCTAAAAGTAGGCCATCTCGCATTGTTTTCGAAAAAAAAATATGCTTTTGGAGCTGGTTTCTAAAAGATTTTCTTATTACATCAAGTGTTAAAATCTAGTAGCACATTGTTCCTTGTATTTTAATCCGTCCGATTTTTTATATGGGGAGCATTAAATACAGTGTTCACATAGACAACGCCAGTCAACTAAGGAGCAGAGCTCAGAATGCTGCAAAGACATTAACAAAAAATGACATCTTTGAGACAGTCAACTATAATTTTTTGGCGCCGTATTAAAATGTGTAACTCATTTTTTTTTCTAAAAAACTATCCGAGATGGCCTGTTCTTATAGGAGACAAAGAATGGATTGAATTAAAAGATCGGCTAGATAAAAAATGCAAAGTCCTCGGAAAAGCAGCCAAAAATTCTGCTACAATTTATATAGAGGTGGGGGTAGTTTTCACCATCCTTGAACTTTCTAGAAAGTCTCACAAAACACAGGTGCTCCAAATCTCATTCAAATCTGACTAACGGTTTTTAAAAAAATTTAAAAATGTGTTTCGAAAGGAAAACTTTTAAGCCCTCCAATGGACAAACTTTTGCATGGAGGTAGTCATGCCCCACCGACTTATTTTGAGTCTAAAAATACGTGGTACTTATATCCTTACAGAGTGGATATGACATGTTTGTTTTCCATCTCTGTGACCATAGCCAACCATATATAACGCTGTTTTATGCTATTCAGCAATCGTCAGTAAGGCAAAGGATAAGTCTCAGGGGCGTATCTATCCTAGGGCAAACCGGGGCAGTGCCCCGGGGCCCCGGCTTATAGGGGGCCCCGGCCATGCCTTAAACCCGACACTAAATTCGAAAAGTTTCATAAAAACTAAAAATGATCTATTGACTGTTTCAAAAATATCGACTAATTTTTTTTCTCTTAAGTATATAGTATATCGAACAAATTGTTAAAAATGACGAAAAAAAATCCTGTAAGAGTTACAGTTCTTTAACATTTCTTCATTAACAAGGGAAAAAAATTGTTTTCAACTTTTGAATTTTTTTCTTATTACTAAATTATCATATGGATGAGTTCGTAGTTTACTCTTGTAGGGAATTGAATGCTTTACAAAAAAGGTCTCTTACAATTTTCCGATAAACCTACTCGTTCAAAAGTTTTTCGAGGGAAATTGAAATTTGCGAAGCGGCACCACTTAATATTAATATTAAGAGCTGTTACTTTTACAGGATTTTGTTTCGTCATTTCTAACAATATGTTCGACGTACTTGAGGGAAAAAAATAGAAGATTTTTTTGAAACAGTCTAATTGATACACGACTATCGAACTATTTAATGCATTTAAAAATGGTTGTGTATTCTTCTCTTTGCAGAATTAGCAGATTGCGGAACAAAACGCTAAAAAAATAAAAATGGAAGATAAGCGGAAATATCAGTCTGGAGCACAGAAAAGAAAATTGGAATTAGAAAAAGAGGAAAAATTAAAA